ACTACTATATATATATATATATATATATTTTTTTTTTTCCACTGGAAAAATCTAGGTATATATGATTATCTTTAAAATATGCAAACATTGTTTTAAGCTTTCAAGTGGTATTGTGATATTCAGATACAATGACGTCCTATAGGTAAAATATAAGTACCAGCAATAGACAGTAGATTCACAGGAAATGTTTTGTAAAGAATTAACCAAACACAGGAAGCAAAGGAAAACTAACACAAGAAGAACCCAAATCTTTATTTTGTAAACTTACAGATAAAGAATATTGCACTGGAGTTTTTTCTTTGTATGTTTCTAAGTTTATTTACAGAATTTCTCTGATTGTTGGAGCTAGACAAAAATAGCTAAACCATATTAAGTCAGAATCAAAACTCGTTACGTCAGAATCAAAACCCCTTAAGTCATAGTGTTAAGTCAGAATTAAAACTCCTCATGTTAAGTCAGAATCAAAACTCGTTATGTCACAATGTTAAGCCTGAATCAAACTTAAGTCAGAATCAAAACTCGTTAAGTCACAATGTTATGCCTGAATCAAACTTGTTAGTCAGAATCAAAACTCGTTAAGTCACAATGTTAAGTCAGAATCAAAACTCGTTAAGTCACAATGTTAAGTCTTAATCAAGTCACAGTGTGTTTTCAAACAATAATAGATTCCTATATTAACTATCATTTCCATTATACATTTTAAACCTCAGCTCATACAAAATTGTGTACTACTTCCTGATAAACTATTTTCAACATGTTTGTTAGTAAATCCAGCATATAATGAGAGGTTAGAGCAGAAATATGTATTATGGAGTTAAACTATGTTTCCTCGATTTCGACCTAACTGTGGGGAAGAAAGAGAATAGGCACAATCTTTATTGATCACTTAAAACTATAAAAATTAAAACAATCTTTATTGATCACTTAAAACTATCAAAGCTCGGAGTATAGCTTTAGAGAGCAAGGTAGTGTTCCTGTTATTTAACACAGAAATGAAAACAAACTCATTTATTAATACGTTTACTAACATATTTAAACAGACATTTAAAATAGAATGAAGATCCAAACAAAACAAAATTAACAGCCAAATCAATTATTGTGTTAGTACTATAAGGTAAAGCTGCATTTCAACTGGAACACCTTTTCTGGTAATGATGAATGACAAATGAAAAGAAAATTTCTAAAATACTATAATCCAATCATTATGATAATCTATTTCACTTTTTTAAAATGAGGCATGCAGTTCAGAAGTCACTGAAATCACCAGAAAACTGTACAGTTTACAGCAGGGTGACGCTACAAGTTTCACACTTTGAGTATGTAACATTTAGTGCTACCTTCCCTGACCAGATGTGTTATGAAGTTGAGAATTTTCTACCCCTGCTTTAGAAATGAACACATACTTTATAAACAAAATATATGATCTGTGAAAAGGCACCTTTGTTTTTCTAAACATGCCGATAAATGTTCACGTACACCACGTTAAATAAAAACTTTGTTGTATATGGAAACCTCTACACACCAAGAACTCCAGAAACAGACCATCCAAGAAATGTAATCCAAGTTAGGCGAACATCTTGTGGCTGATATCTTGGGCCTGTAACTAAAATGTAGTAAATTTCAGATTACATCAGTAAAATTATGAATGACACTAATGGTTGCAGTAGCATTTTTTAAAGTATTTTTTTACATTTGTTTCTATTTCTAAATAAACTATTTGTTATAAGTATAATAACTTGTTTTTAACCCTACATTTACGGTAAGATCAAAGTGTACATGTCATGACCTTTTCTCAAAGTTAACAATCAAATTTAATTAAACTACTTTATTACCAATGTACTCAATAAACTTGACATTAAAAAGTAGCTTATAATTAAAATTTTTATATTATCCAAGTTTCAATTTCTTAGTTGCAAAAAGAAATATCTAAATAAATGAATTCGAAATTTTTACTTCTCTGTGTTATGCGAGGCATTTTAGGTCTGAATTCTCTCTTATATAATTCTGCCCTGTCGTGTGTTTCAGGGTACACAGTCCAATAGAACACAAACTACATATACTGAGAATCCGGTGACGAGGAACCCACTTTGAGACTAATAATGGCTGGAAACGGCTTGAATGGGTAATGAAGAAAAACTTTAATACAAGTTTAACATAACCTGATAATGACAAAACCTTGTCGAAACGTTGTATATTTGCTGTTATCTTATACTTACATTAAAGTTTTTCTTCATTACCCATTCAAGCCGTCTCCAGTCATTATTATATACTGAGAATTCCTTGACGAGGAACCCACTTTGAGACTAATAATGGCTGGAGACGGCTTGAATCGGTAATGAAGAAAAACTTTAATATAAGTTTAACACAACAGCAAATGTACAACGTTTCGACAAGGTTTTGTCATTATCAGGTTATGTTAAACTTGTATTAAAGTTTTTCTTCATTACGCATTCAAGCCGTCTCCAGCCATTATTATATACTGAGAAGCCAGATTATAAACTCTGAACTTCTTAATCTGAATACTTGTCAAACTCGTAAGTGAAGCACGTCTCATCGTATTATAGCTTTCAAAGCAGTTATCTGACTTACTTAATGGACACGTTTATCATCAATAGTTTATATTACTACAAAAATCTAGACAAAGTTATTTCTCTGTGACATAGCAGACAGTTGGCTTTAAATTTCATTGACTGAGGTCATTGTTATTCAGCTCTGAGCAGCTAACAAATTTTTTTAACCTCTCTATAACTTGGTTAGAAAGCCAGTTAAACTAGAGCAGTTTTGGAACATTTTATTGTAGTTCCTATTAAACGTTTTGTGTTTTAAGATGCATATCTGAAAGCTAAATGAGTTATTATTTAAACAACTAAGTTAGGGCTAGTGTGCCACAGCATTGATGACAAAAGGTCCAAGTCAAAACGTAAGTGGTATATTTCTTATTTTTTTATGTAATTTTTTCTGTAACATGATTGCTTGTTTAAACCAAGTTATATCAGAAACATACCTTCACGATTTATAAAGCAATAAAATTAAAAGAAAGTAAATGTGAAAAAGGTTAGAAACTGAGGCTGTTAGGATAAATAATTATAAGTTGCTGTTATAATCTGCAGTCATTCTTGACAAATAAAAAAAAGGTATTATTCCTGTTATTTCATATTAGACACCCCAACTCGTTTCGCTCGTATATTTACTGTTTCATCTTATAAAAAGTAATGTCACACTTAATAATTCTTCCTATATCAAATGTGCCTGAATACAATGATTTTTACCAACTCTTTTTTTTTTTCTTCTTTGAGCCTAATACCGATTACTTTCACTGAAGGAACTCGTGAAAGTGCCACATATAATTGTGCATGTGCGAATACATTTCATTCAACACAACCTATAACAATCACATCTCCTTTCCTCGCTTCTACGAAACAAATAAAAGAACCGTTAACACGTACACACAGTTCTGGCAACGATCCTACCATTGTGTTGGCATGAGCTGAGTGAATCAATAGTAAAAGTTTGAAATTTAAATGACAATGATTGGTTGGCTTTGTTTGGGTCTGCGTGAGCACCAATCAGGCTTGACTCAATCCAAAAACATGCACAAAGGCTGGAGAAATTATTTTAGTATATAGTAGGATTCTTTAACTTCACATTAATTTGGTGATTTTGCTAAATTAGAGTTATTGTAGTAAAATGTAACATACGAAATATAGTTTTATCACATGAAAAACTTTTGATATTCATTTATAGATTTTAGATGACATGAAAACTGTAAAATGAAAATAAGCATATTAAATCATAATACGAACATCACTTTGCATTCAGATCGACTTAGTAAAGGCTTTGTAAATGCAGAAACAAATGTTTAGTAGAAATACTTTATTCAAAGATCCATTTTCTTTGTTTCACAATGAGCTTATAATGTAAACTAAAAGCTTGTCAAATTTTGTGAAGATACACTTATTAAAAACAGAGTTAAAGAATGTATAGCTTCAAGGGTGGGTCAAATTGACTCGTTTTGTCTGGAAAGTTAAGTTAGTTTTAAAATAGCATTTATCGAAGTAAAAAATAACCATTACATCAAAAATCCAACAGTGATACTATAGAGTGTGGTCTACACAGATACTATCATCATCACCATTTTAACTTTCGTTTATTTGCAATTGGTGCTAGTTATTATAAACAACACTTTTAAACTAATAAAGTACAAAACACCATTATGTAATGTTTCGGGGACAAATATAATCGGAATGAAATAAATTCCAACAATCAAAATTAGCACATTTATAACCTAAATGTAAGGTACTCTTTTGAAACACACAACTTATCAAATTATTATTATTTGCTGAAGAAAAACATGGAAAATCATTTAGCAAGAAATTATGTTTTAGTGAATCATTAAAACTGTGATGATGATACTATCTGTGTAGACTGCATTGTTATAGTGTAAATATCCTTGTAGACCACATTGTTATAGTGTAAATATCCATGTAGACTGCATTGTTATAGTGTAAATATCTTTGTAGACCACATGCTATAGTGTAAATATCTGTGTAGACCGCATTGTTATAGTGTAAATATCTTTGTAGACCACATGCTATAGTGTAAATATCTGTGTAGACCGCATTGTTATAGTGTAAATATATGTGTAGACCACATGCTATAGTGTAAATATCTGTGTAAACCGCATTGTTATAGTGTAAATATCTGTGTAGACCACAAGCTATAGTGTAAATATATGTGTAGACCACATGCTATAGTGTAAATATCTTTGTAGACCACACGCTATAGTGTAAATATCTGTGTAGACCACATGCTATAGTGTAAATATATGTGTAGACCACATGCTATAGTGTAAATATCTTTG